GAATAAAAAAAACTGTTTATCTGTCTCTTTGTGAATACTTAGAGTAGGGGAGCGCCGTAATTGACACATCTCTTACTTGAGAAGTGTCTGTTGCCCTCATTAGGTTTAATTACAAAATTTGATCACGATCATATTGTAGTCTCTCAAAGTGCTCTAGAGATTGTCAGTGGTTTACATGAAGTGGCCATGGGTGTCTGGAGCACCCTGAAACTGTATCAAAGTTGTGCATATTTCCAAACATTTTTAAAATGAAAAGGCACTCTCGTGTTCTCCTCACTCTGTGCACTTTGCTGTTGGTGTGACAAGACATTTAAAGATGTTTCTGGCATTTTTTTTTATTTGTAAGGTGGTGTTAACTATATGGTTATTGGCTAGAAATCCTGAGTTATCAACTGTATATATCTATAGTTTGTAAAATAACAAAACAACCAAGACAAACTCTTGATGCTCCTTGCCTGGCGTTGAGGCTGCGGGAAAGATGCCTTTTGGAGGGGCTGTAGCTCAGGGCGTGCACTGTGAGGCTGGACCTGTTGACTCTGCAGTGGGCATCCATTTAGCTTCAGGTTGTCTTGTTTCTGTATATAGTGACATAGCATTCTGCTACCATCTTAGCTGTGGACAAAGGGGGTCAGCTGGCATGAGATATTTTTGTTTTTTGTTTAAGTGCGGTAGTTTTTAAACTGTTTTTAAACAAACTGTAGAACTCTTCATTGTCAGCAAAGTGAAGAGCCACTGCATCAATGAAAGTTCAAGAACCTTCTGTACTTAAACACGATTTGCAACGTTCTGTTATTTTTTTTGTATGTTTAGAATGCTGAAATGTTTTTGAAGTTAAATAAACAGTATTACATTTAAAAAAAAAAAAGAAAAAGATGAATAAATAATAAGTGAGACAAGAATGTGGACAGAGTCAGAAAAATAATGGACAGTGTTTGTGAGCATCACTTTTGGGATAAATCTTTTCCAAATGTTTTCTATCTTTGAAGTTTGCTCCACAAAATCTGAATCCTTGCTGGGGGCAGGGAGAATCTGACCTGGTTTTTCGCCCTTGAAGCAGGAAAGGGGAGGGACCCTAAATGACAACTCCATCAATACCACCAGTTGGAGGGGGGTGATTCTTCACAAGAGGGCAGGGCATTGCCCCCAAATCAAATGAGATGGGCTTTGGGCTTCTTGTAACAATAGATGTCATATCCAGGTAGCTAGGAGTTCTTTAATGCTTTCTAAATGGGAGGAGAAAATTTTTTGTATTTACTTTCAGTATAAAGGTCAAGGCTTTCAAAGAACTTTTGTCAAGACTGAAACATAGGGACACTTGTAAACTGGGTAATAACAACTAAAGAAGAGGGGACAACTGATAGAGACTGCAGATGAGTCTGAAGTCCCTTTTGGAGACTCATGACTTTATTTTCATTCTGAAATAATTAAAAAGGTAAGTGATATACAATGATCTCAGAATTTCTAGGAGGAATTTATGTAAGATTGTACATAAAGTCAATAGAATATGGTGGAGAAAGCTTGGACTTTTGAGTTGGAGGGATTTATAAACTAAGATTTTTTTTCCAATTCTTTCCTTTATCATATGGAAATAACCACATCTCTTAGGGTTGTTATAAGGTACCTGAAACTCTTGGTATATATTAAGAATAAATAATATATACTAATACTTAATAATACATACTTAATAAATGCTAGCTTTCTTCTCTCCCACTGTGTATTTATGTATGTTCCTCTTTATATATGAAGCACATATAGTAAAATAGTTGTCCTTTCCCTATAATGAGCTGAAAACAAATTCTCTTCTCCTCAAATCCATTTTTCTTCTTTGGAGCTGATATTGGTAACAGGAGTACACAGCAGATAAGCTCGTCCCTATCCTGTGGTCTGTATTACAAGATACAATCATTTTTCCCGTGGTGGTAGATGAGGCAATTTACATCCCTGGTTGTCTTAAACCTCTCCTACAGCAACAGTCAGCTATAGTTTAAAGTCAAAATGAAATTCTCTGTGGATTTGAATCATAGCTAGAAGCAAGGCCATCAAGTTGAAGTGGTTGATTTAGCAAAGTAAAAAAAGAAAAAAGTCTTACAACACCTACATTACAATGAATGGTAGTAGTATGTCATTCATGACAACTTCAGTGTTCTCAAATATTTTATTTTATTTGTTCAACCAATTTCTCACATTGAAATGGCTTGATGGGGTGAGTCTTCCTAAGTTTTATTTTAAATGGGGCTGAAAGTAGAAACTGTTGTAGAAATAAACAACAAGTTGTTTAAGGAGACATCTAGAGGGAGAAGCAACAAATAATCTTGGAACATGTAGGTGAAAGAGCAAGTCATCTTGCAAAATATGGTAAGAAAAATCTGCCATGCCTGCCTCAGCCCAAGGGAAAGAGTAATCCAGGGTATTCAGAACACAGAAAAAGAGCTTCAGAGTCGACCAGAATAAAATGGGTTCCAGTCTTGCCACTTTCTAGTAGCTGGTCAACTTTGGAAACATGTCTTAGCCTCTCTGATTTTCATTGTTATCTGTAGAATAAGGCTAGAAAAGTCTCCATTTGCAGAATTCCTGTGAGGATGAAATGAGAAGGTAAAGCACTTTGGAGTGGTTGGAACATACAAAACATTTGATAAATGATGTTATGTTATTGCTTAATTTATTCAATACAATGTATATTCTAAGATATATATTAAAATATGCATGCATTAAGATTTGACCTGATAAATGAAAAACGATGCTTTATTATGTGAGAGTTAATAATCTTATAATAATTATGAATAGGAATCATATTAATTCTTACACAAAAATGCTGAAATTTGAGGAGGTACAGCATAAGAAAAAAACATGGATTTGGGGTCAGAAAGTTTTTGGTTTCTTCTGCTTGGTGGCTGAGATGTTTGAATAAGTTGCTGTAACTTACTAAATTTCAGTGTCTATACAGAGGGGATAATAGCACTTACTTTTTAGAGTTTTGGGAGGATTATAAAACAACTAATGAGTATTGCCTGGCATGTGGTAAACCAAAAACACCTGTTCTTTTCCCTTTTTGTATTGTTCTGAGACTAACACAATCCTACTATATCTCGTAGTCACCTTAGAATACAGACAGAATATAGAGCCTCAAAATCTCACAGATAGGATATAGTATATTGGAATCATCGAACATAAAATTTAAAAGTGAACCTGGTGAATATTTAAACTCTACTAACTGATACATCCAGGCTTCTGACATGTCCCTGGTAAGAAAGTTGCTAGGTAATTTCTGTAGTACTAGGGCCTTACTACTGTAGAACAGAGAGGTCTTTCCTTTGAGGCAATTTTAATTGTCAGAAAGTTCTTAATATTGAACTGAAATCTCCTCCTGGCAATTTTCCTTCAATGGTTATAGTTCTAGATGCTGATCATCTTCACATCACAGCCTTTGTGTATGTTAAGTCTGCTGCCTTAGAACAGTACCTGACCAATGGTAGGCACTCAGCAAATGTTTCCTCAGTGAACGAATGAGTAGATGAATGGGACAGGAAATGAGAACCATTTAACAGTGATAGTGCTTTACTGTCTATGCTGAGAACATTAGCACAATTTCTTTTGCACAAAATGGTAATATATTGTATCAGTCATGGCACAATAAAGACAGCAGAATCATTATGAGTTTTATAGAATAAGAGATTTATCATAGGAATAGGGCCTTATACCATTATGGATGGGGTTGCAGAAGTATGGTTTACAAGGAGGGGTTGGAGGATCAGAGAAATGTCTATAACCTGCCTTCTGAAATGCTAGTGCAAATGGACAAGGGCAGAGTTCACAAAGGAATATGGGGAGGCAGGGACGTCAACTGAGGAGTTAAAATGGGAAGAAGACTGGGAAGCCTGTTGTTGCCTCTGCATCTGGTTATGGGCCTGGAAAGACTATTGGCCCTTGTGTTTGGGCTCTTCAGAGAAAAAGAGAACCAGTAGGATCTATCTGCCTATCTCTCTCTCTCTCTCTCTCTCTCTCTCTCTCTCTTTCTCTCTCTCACTCTCTATCATCTATCTATCATCTATCTATCCTCTCTATCCATCTACCCATCTTTCTTTCTATCTATGGAATTGACTCACGTGATTATGAAGGCTGGGAACTCTAAAATCTGCAGGGGGACTGGCAAGCCTGAGACCCTGGAGAGTTGATGGTGCAGATGAAGGCTGAAGGCAGTCTGTTGGAGAATTTCCTCTTGCTCAGGGAGGCTGATCTTTTTGTTCTGCTCAGGCCTTTACCGTATTGGATGAGGCCCACCCACATTATGGAAGACAATCTACTTTACCTAAAGTTCACTGATTTAAATGTTAGTCTCGTCTCAAAAATGCCCTCTGAGTTGACACGTAAAATTGCCTGTCACAGTCAGCAAAGCTTGCAGTCAGGAAGAAGAGCTAGATACAGAGGAGGGAAAGCATGAATGAGGGCTGGAATCTGCCAGCACTTCTGCTCTATCTCTTGTTGTGCTAACAATGATGGTCTTTGAAGAGTCAATGGTTACCATTCACTTCTGCCTTCCAAATCTTGCTCAGATTTGCCAGAAGATAATTCTGGGAATCATAGAGCTAGCAGACCAGTTGGCATGCATAAAACTACATAGTAGGCTGGGTGCGGTGGCTCACGCCTGTAATCCCAGCCCTTTGGGAGGCCAAGGCGGGCGGACCACGAGGTCAGAAGATCGAGAACATCTTGGCCTACATGGTAAAACCTCGTCTCTACCAAAATACAAAAATTAGCTGAGCGTGGTGGCGCCTGCCTGTAGTCCTAGCTACTCAGAAGGCTGAGACAGGAGAATTGCTTGAACTCAGGAGCCGGAGGTTGCAGGGAGCCAAGATCGCACCACTGCACTCCAGCCTGGTGCAAAAACAAAAACAAAAAAACCTACAAAAACAAACAAACAAACAAACAAACAAACAAACAACTACATAGTCAACCCATTGTTAACTTGACACCATATATACCTTTTTAACCTATATTTAACTTTCTAACATGATGCAAGACACTCCCCAAACAATCTAACACCTGCTAACTTTCTTGCCATAAAAGGATACAAAGTTTCATGTGTCATATAGTCCATCTCTGGGTGATGTTATCCTTCAAGCGGCATCACACTATTCCTTTGATATTTTGTAACCTGAATACTGAGATATAAGACTAACCACTTATTAACACATCTGATGATAGACACTAGCTCAATGGGAGAAGGGGAGGAAAGGAACATAATTGGTTATTATATACACAAATATTCATGCGAAAGTAAGAAAAGCAACAGC